TAGGAATAAGGAAACTAATGGTGGCTTAGGGATTAAGCAAATAAAAATAAGGTAAGTGGTGCTTGGGGAATAAGTAACTTGGAGGGAATTTCCGTTCCAGGTTTTATGCTTCATTTTCAAGGCCGATTTTCGATAAGATAAATTCCGAATTAGCAAAAAGACCCTCTCACATAAGTCGTAGGAAATTTCGTCTAGTTTTCAGAACATTTTGTATCCCGTCAATTGGACTTATGAGTAATCAGATATACCTGAAACACTGAAGAGGGGTCAGTCTACCAACAATATCGTTTTTGCATCTTTTCAGCTCCATTCTCTTCCTTTTGCATTCCAGCTCCCATTTTAACTGTAATTGAATATTTCAAAGCATATTAAGTATGTTTTAGTTATAAATAACATAAAAACATAGTATAAAATAAAATAAAACATCATAAATATATGCATAAAATAGACGTTATCATATACCATATTATAGTTTGTATGAATGTTCTTGTTTCGTGTATTACACTCAGTAAAAGTAATGTAGTGTTCTCAACTATTCCAATTATAGTTTAATTGTATGTTCTGTACTGTACTGAAAACTTTTGCAATTTAGTTGTATGAAGGAAAAAACACTCTTATGCTCAACATGGTACAACAAGGGTTAAAATATATAAATATTTTTGTAAACTGTAGTGAATTCTTTGTTTGAATCAATTGCAAAGGTTTTGAAGCTGTTTGAAATCATTTGTATAAAACACAGAAATTCTTGTGTTTTGCTTGTATCCCCCCCCCCTCCTTAAAAACATTGAAAATAGTAAAATGTAGGGGTATGAACTCACCTCTAGTGCGTGTTTGAATCGGGATTGTGGAACTGTAGAGATGATCCTCGGCTAGCGTACGTAGAATTAATGGTATCCTAATAATATTTAAACATGTATAGTATTTAAATTAGCGAAACAGTTAATTAAAGTGTTAGAAAACACTTGATTTATGTTAAGAATGATTACCGAAAATTGTATAAGTGTTGAAGAGAGTTTTCGGTTCCAAAGGGGTTCTCGGCCGAAAACGGGTTTTCGGCCGAACGCAGGTTTTCAGTCCCGTGTATTTTCGGTCACTTGAAGATTTAAAGGATGTTCTTGGTGTTCTTGGTGAAAATATGAAGATTTGAAGGTTTTCTCTTGAAGGTTTGAATGTTCTTGGATGATCCTTGGGAGCAAAAATGACAGTGTTTTCGAGTGTATAAGGTGAGAAATGACTAAGTTTTCGAAGGAAAAACTTATATACGGTTGGGTTTTCGGCCGGAAATGGGTTCTTGGCTGAAAACGGTTTGCTATTCGAGAATTCTCGACCGAAAAAGGGAGTTTCCGGTCCGAGGCTTCTTGGTTCCGAAAGAGGAAAAATGTTGATTTTCGAACGTGATTTTATTTCGAAAACTTATATAAACATTATTTACATAATTTACATTGTTTTCTAACCCTTATGAATTTAAATTAAATAAAATTTGAAATTTCATTTGACGGGTTTGACTTTTGTTGACTTGGAAAGTAACGAGTTGTTACATTGGAGCAGTTTGCGTTTGTTAAAGGCATGAAAATCGTAGATGGTCTATTTATGTTGAACGAGATCATTTCTTGGTATAAGTCCAAGCGACAACAACTCATTATTTTCTAGGTTGACTTTGAGAAAGCTTATGATTCGCTTTCTTGGGGTTATCTCCTTGAGATCATGCATATTATGGGTTTCGGTACGGTGTGGTTTGGTTGGATTAGGGCACTTTTGTTTTCTTTTAGAGCTTTGGTTCTAGTCAATGTGTTGCCTTATCTTGAGTTCGCTGTTAGGAGAGGTTTGAGGCAAGGAGATTATTTGTTTCCTTTCTTATTCATCTTGTCGATTGAGAGTCTTCATGTTGCGTTCATTCGTGTTCAAATGGAGGGTATTATACATGGTTCTCATATTATAGGGATGGAAGTTGAGATTTCTCATCTATTTTACATTGATGATGTTGTCTTGTTGTGCCCGTGGGAGGTGGAGAAAGCTAGAAGGATTGTGAACATTCTTAGATATTTTTTCCTTGCTTCTGGGTTAAAGATCAACTTATTCAAAAGTAAGTTGTTTGGGTTCGGAGTGTCTGATTCTTTGGTTAGTGATGCAGCTTTGGTTATTGGGTGTGAGGCTTCATCTTTTTCGTTTATACACTTGGGTGTTTCGGTTGGTCGTTGTATGTATTATGTTTCTTCGTGGTCAAGGCTCAAGGGTCGTTTTATGCAGAGGCTTTCTACTTCGAAAGCCAAATCCCTCTCTTTTGGTGATCTTCCTACTTTAATGAAAGTGGTGTTTGGCTAGATTGGGATTTATAATATGTCCTTCTTTCTGGTTCCTATCTCGGTTCTTAACTTTGTGGAGTCCTTTAGAGCTCAGAGCTTAGTTCTTTTGGGGAGATGAGGTAGGGAAAAACTTATGCACTGGATCAGTTGGAGCAAGGTTTTAGATAGTAAAGAGGAAGGTGGTTTGGGGGTAGGAAGCTTGTTTTCCTATAATAGAGCTTTGTTGTTCAAATGGAAGTGGATATTCATTATGATGAAATTTATCAGTTACAAAAATCTTGTACTTGCGGTAAAAAAACAATTAACAATTAATCGTGCATGTAACCTATAAGTATCTATGTCTTCACACATTGAAAACAACATATAATGAACTACAAGAACCCTAGCTATAATCGAATTTACTAGAATTAGGGTTACATTGTTAGGGTGCAAAAGTTCTCAATGGATGTGGCTTACCCTCTTGTGATGTGTAACGGGTTTAGCCTTTCCTATAAATAGGAAGTGAGTGGCTCCCATGTTATGTAAGAACCATTTGTGAGAGATTCGTCTAGTGAGAGAATTATTACATAACCCACTTTGTAATAGTTTACTAGATCTAATAAGAGATTAAACGAGATTATTTACATTGCGTGTTCTTCAATATTGCTTTAGATTCACTTAATCATCACAATTCTGCATAAGTCATCATAATTGGGTCACTACATACATACCTTTGTATTGTTATAGTAAACAATACTCTTGATTCCCTGGTTGATCTTTGGAAAGCTTTAGCACCAAAATGATGATGCATCTAATGACTCACATCCAAACCCTAGAAACCAGAAGACAAGAAAGGAGAGAGAATAAGAACAAGAGAAATCAGAATTCTATAGGAATCAGGCAAGCCGAAAATCAAAGGGTTACAACCCTTTATATAGCTGCTAGAAAACCCTAGAAGCCCTAATTATGAACATATAATAATAATATTTCAAATTCAATAACTATCTAGTTTCCTATTATTAAATGGAGACTTTTTTGAATACCCTAATAGGGCATCAAAACCGTCCATATGATGGAGGTTTCTAGATCCTCTATTTTTTTCAACTATTAATCAATTGCAGCTCAACCCTTGTACCTTTAATTAGTTCTAACTAACCAAAAAATAATTCTAAATTAATTATGATTAATTATATCATTATTTCCAATTAATATATTAATCACATAATATATTAATAAATCATTTATTATAATTTCCAATTATTTTATTAATCACATAACAAACTAATAAATTATCCTCTCTCTACAAATGTCATTCTAATCAATTTCTAGTTATGAGGGCAACCCAAAAAGGACTTTGCTATCATTTCATAAATTTATATCAATTTAGTTTTTGACTTTGACTAATTTAGTTATGACCTTGGACATATATTCCAACAGTCTCTCACTTGGACAAATCATCAACTATAATTGCAAATATAGATTTCAAATAAACAACAAAGATTTTTTCCAAAGCCATTGTCGAACTCTAATTAAAATCAAACGTTGTCCCTAAGATAAGTATTTAACTATTCCTTCATTCCATAAGATATCATATGAACATAGTCATGGATTAAATGATCAACCTTATGTTCGTTTGTTTGTTTCTCGGTCTCTGATTTTAATGATAAATTTTAATCTACAAAATCGAACACATTAATTTAGTCCCGACCAACCCTGGTTCTTATAGATCAACTTAAATCAACGAGGGGCCTGATGATAGCGCTTATCCTTATTCAGGCAAAATGAACGAATAAACCTTGACTACATAATTTAAACCTTTACTCTTCAAATCACACATGACACTACGTTTTATAAAACCAATTTACTGATGTTTTTACGCAGTACCAATGTATAACCGACTTGCAAATTACAACTTATGTATCTCCGTTTGAAGAATAGTAGATGGTATCGTTTTAGAATTATTTGTGATTGAATCCATGAAGTAATCTCTAAGCGTGGGTTTATCCAATACTTAAAATCCCTTTAAGAACTCATGAGTATAATAACAATCTTTATGCAATACAACTTTACCATAAATAATTATCTTAACACTCCTTCACTGTCTTAAATCATTACTTATTTCTAAAAGTATGACCGACTGTGGAATTTCGAATAATATTTAAATTCCCCAGGAAAGTAAACATGCAAATTGAAACACAATAATAAACTTATTAACTTATGGTATCAAACCTTTCGAATATAAATAAATCTCTATTATTTAATCATCATAACAATTACGAATTTATTCATTGTAGATTGTTTCGTGTAATCAACTAATCACTTAGATTAAATAATATTAGTCATGTAATGTTGCAAACATGCATACTATGTTTCTCTACGGTCCTTCATTTGTGAACAGATCAACTTGACATTACTCCAATTATGCTTATTGGTTGAAATTGCATTGTTTTTCAAATAAAAAATTTGTTATAAATAGTTAATTATAGATTGACAAAGTAACACAATAGAAACCAAATTTGTGATTACTCAAAAAAAAGATATAACTAGCTAACATAAAACAATAAAAATACCGAATAAGACGAATGTGACAATAAAGTAACACAACACATCCATATGTAGATTAAGATTTGCTTGTTTCAGTAAAAATGAGAATTTAGTATTGTTTGAATTATTCTTAATTCAATATCATAACACTAACTATAAAGAACTTTCGCAAAAGAGTAAAAATGATCTTTATATCTCTCAATATATTATCCATAGTTTAAAAAACTTACATATTTGATAAAAATAGAGGAACTAACACAAGCTAATTGGTTTCATAAATTTACAATACAAACATGCAACAAGAACCATAAAACACATTATAATAATCTACTTCAGACCTCTCGAGCCTGGAATATCGATCCACGACAGTTGAATCTCAATCTCCCCACATTCAACGTTCTGCAGTCTAAGAACCATCTTTTGAATAGCTTTTCCATCTGTCCATATTATATGGCTTTCTTCAGACAAACAGTTGGTCCTTGTCGGTTTAACAGTTGTGATGATTGTTCCGTTTGGAAGATTATTCAACCGCATCTTGATTGCTTCTAAGAACGGCTGGATGTCAAATACAGCATCCCCCATTTTGTCATCGAGGCTAAACGTATCCCTATCGTAAACTTCCTGAAATATTTGCAATTATTCAAACCATGGGGTGTGTTTTGAAAATCTTAGAAAACTTCAGGACACAATGATAAAATAGACAATATACAATCAATCAGCCGTGTGACTTGTCATTGTTGCAGAATACTATAGAGTCACGGAGTAGAATTGTACAAAGTAAAAAAAAAATGTTTGGTTGCCAATTTTAAAACTTATTTATTTTATATCAAATAAATAAAAAGTTATTTTTAAGCTCTTTCCTCGATACATATATGTTCTTTTACAATCTTTTTTGTTTTTTGTAGCCTACATTATATTTTTTATTTTGTTGTTATTTTATCGTTAAAAAACAAGAAAAAACGATATTATAGTAATAAAGCTATATATAAAATTATAAATATTAAAAACATTTCTTTTATGTTATTTTGAGTTATAAAAAAATCAGTACTTATTTTTGGAAAGAATCTTAACACTGTTTTAATGGCATAGACATAATAACTTCTCAATTTTATTATATTATATTTTTAGTATTTAATAAATAGTCAAAGGGTTTATGTCAAATAGAATATTTATTTCCGACTTTAATTAGTGACGCCGGCGGCAAATTAGGCAAAGATTTGAAGGAAAATGAAATAATGTATTCAATTTACTCAAATACCCCCCTTACCTTTTATACAAAAAATTAAAAATAAAGTAAGACATGTTGAGCACAACATCACAATTCACAAGTTTCAATCTTTTCACACAATTAGCGACCCAAATAATTTAAACCATAAAACAGAGTTCATTTGAAGATTTTATTAGATTTTCTATTTGAAAACGATGTAAACCGTGTTATCTGATTAAAAGATTAAACTAACAAAATCCCACAAATCATATCATCAAATTCTTTAAAAATCAACGAATTTGAACAAATCCGGAGTAGTTTCATGCTTTATTTGCAGGAAATGAAAAGCAATGTACAGCTAGTAGAGCATACAGTACAAGCAGCTGTAAATATCACGAAAACGAAGAACTTACAAGTTTGACAGGGAGAGGCTCCGATACAGAGAGAGTCAAAGCTTCATCCCAAACAGGATTGATGTTGTTCTTCACCACTCGAGTTTTCAATTTCTGAATCAAAAATTAGCAAAACAGGAAACAGTTAATCTCTAAACTTTACAGATTTGCATTAATTCATTACTCCTGAAGTGACGCCGTGATGGGCGGATCAGCTAAAGTAGGTGATGGTAATCAATTTTACTCCGCCACCATCATCTCAACCGGAGAATAACAAAATACAGATCATATTGTGAAATGGAATAGAAATTCAGATAGAATTGAGTACCTGTTTACCCATTCGAATAACGACATAAGGATCACTGCTACAGACATCTCGAACAGCGAGATTTACGCCTTTGTGAACATGAATCCTAAGCAAACCCAACAAGTGCTCCATGAAGAACTTGATTAGCTTTAATAACTAAACTAGAATTGCAAATGAAAAACGCGTATAGATGATGAATAGAGAGAGAGATCTAGAAAACTTGGAGATTTTAGGGTACAAGAGGGTTGTATAAATAGAGATTGAAGAGAAAGGGGTATAAGACGAGGTCTAGTCAGGTACGTGTGTTTTGTTTTTGTTTATTTAATTGGATAATCCACCAATTATGTTTAGAAGTTAGAACCGGGTCTTCTTAAGGAAAGTGATAACCCGAAAACCGCATATTTACTATTGGCAAATGGCAAATGGCAACTGGCAAGTGGTTGTGGCCTGTAGGTTGTTTGGTTACGTTTGGTGGGATTGTGGGACAATGCAGCCTTAATGTTTCTAATAGTAACAAGATAGTGCTATGGACAAAAATGTTGTAATAGTAACATTATAGTGATTTTGACAAAAATGTTTAAGTAACCTACAATGTAATTAAATTAATAATTTTTATCCCGGGTTACTGGCAAAATAACCATCGAGTCCGGAGCACCTTGTTCAGGACAATAGTATAATCGAGGCTGATATGTGCGACGTACGTGGTCTGAAATATAAAATGAAAATTTCAGATATAATTTTCAGAAAGTAGATTATGGATGTATTTTTTAATAGAATTGACATAAATAAGTTGGGTAGCCGTTTCATACTGCTATTTCGAACTCTTTATTTTTTATTATGCATGTATAAATATATGTGCATGTTTTGGTTTAGTGTTACATTTTTATGTACCGAGAGTATCTCCGATTAAAAATAAGTTCATCTAACATGATAGATGAAGAAAGATTTGTCATCTTACCTATGTAGTTGTTTCATTATTGAAAAAAAAACTAATCTAGATACAATTTCATATATTATGAAAGATGTTAATCGGCAGTGACGAATCTATAATAGAAAATCATGTGATTACTAATAAGATGTCCTTTAAATTACCAAAAAACTACATATAAATTGCCAAATTTTAAATACAAATAATAAGTTTATTGTGGGATGATATAAATCTCAGTACCAATCTTTAGGAAGGAACCAATTTAAATACTTTCAATATCAAATTAAGGTTTTTGTTGGAGAAAATGAAGACAAAATTGAAACTACAAACCGTATATCATAGTTTGTATAAGACTATTGCAAAATGTTTGACTAGGTTAAAAAAACCCTCATCTAATTTGGATAGAAAGCAAATCTCCAGGTTACAAAAAAACATGCTTACCAAATGAAGTAGGAATAAACTTTTGTTTATATTAACTTTTCAATGAGACAAGGTAGATCCTAAAAAATTTTGAATCCTAAATTATATATATATATATATATATATATATATATATATATATATGGAAAAGTTCAATAGAGAACCATAATTATTGTTTCTTCAAAGAACCAAATCTTTTTTTCAATTTCTAGAGCTTATTCTTTACCGAAAAAAAAATCTAAAAATATCTAAATTTATATATTAACATTGTGAATGTGAAAAATATTTTTCGGATTCACCGTATGAATCCGGATTCACGTTGTGAATTTTCAAAGATTCACATTGTGAATTTGACGTAAAAAAAATCGAATTTGATATCATTGGAAAAAGGATAAAAAGTTATGAATTTCTGTATTTTTAGTTATTTTTTTTATAAAAAATAAGTTGTAAAAGTTGAGAAAAAGATTGGTTCCTTGGTTAATTATGGTTCTCTATTAAACCTCACCATATATATATATATATATATATATATATATATATATATATATATATATATATATATATATATATATATATATATATATATATATATATATATAATTAGGTGGGTCATGGGACCCACCTAAGCCTTTCTTAAATTTGCCATTGCTGATCGGTTTGAATTCTTATTTCTTGTCTTTGGTTATGTGGTAAGATTTAGTTTTAATACAAGACTAATTTGCTTGTAACTTTTGTTGCATTAATACTGTTATGCTCGATGGTCCAATAATATATAGATTCAACCATTTATAATTTGCATATGAACGTTGATCTTTATCGTTAGTTCCCCTTTCAAGGAAACTATGTAGACACCATGTTTTTTTTACGTTTTCCATCAATGGAAACGACCAACTCCTTCCTCTAGCCTCTGGAGTGAAATAACACATAGTGTGGAATAATGGTCATGTTTTTTATTGAGGTAGAATGAATGCCTTGGGTTTGAGGGTGGGGGGTGTTGAAATTTAGCCATCATATCTTATATGACCAATTCCACTAACATTGTCATTAGACAGGTCTTCATCATAAATGCATATCCCGAGGTTTGTTGTCAGAGTTTGTTTATGAGTGATTTACGATTGCAATAAATTGAATGGTGAAAGTTTTGTTATAGAAGACATGTTAAACATATACAATGTCTAATTTTAAAGAGAGTTTGGGTAGGCTGCAACGTGCAATTCTAAGTCAATGTAATTGGCTTGACAATATTGTTCATGATAGATGGGCTATGACATGCTTCCCTACGATGCGTTTTAATACGCTGACGTGTAACACTTCTGAAGCCATACACCCTTACATGTAACAAATCCCTTCCGACCGAGTTCAGTTTACCTTTTTGTAATCGGATATTGTTACCACTACTTTTTATGTATTTGAGTTTAATGTTTAAGCTATCAAAATTTATGCTTATAATGTTATCGAGATACAAACATCACACCAATATTTTAAGAAAACATAAAATAACACAAATAAATATGGAGCAAAATTTTATATATAACAAAATATAATATAATATGCACCATAACCGTAAACTATAAACCATAACCAAATACAATACCCTAAGCCTAAACCATAACCAAGTTGGAAAGCTTCCTTTCACTTAGACAGGTGATGTCACTTGGGTGTCATAAAGATTGAACCCTAGTTTAATGAGGACAAATAAGAAGAGACCAATTTAATGGTATCCTTATATGTTTAAACCATGAAACTTGTGACCTCTCTGGTTTACTCCTACACATCACATACTGTCTTTGCATTCTCCATGAGTGCTAATATGGCCATACGTTATAAATCCTTTTCATGACCCTTTAGCAGATAGACCACTAATCTTCATTTGAGGCGACACCACCTCTATATCATATAGGTAAACTTTTATAACATCTTCGTTGCTTAGATGTCTCCAAAAACTTCATTAAGAGTCTTAACTCATCCTCGTTCTCGGCAACGACGTACTATCCTACCTCATATGGATCTATCATTAATGATAGTACCTTCTATCGTTAGTGACTTTGTCGTTACTATTTAAAATTGAGAATTAGGAGCACTAATGTCAAGTTGTGTGTCCATCACTAAAAGATTCTATTGTGGTTTTAGACCCATGACTATCGTGGTAGATATAACCAAATCTCTCATTAGAGGTTTGGTAAATATATCTGCCAAATTCCTACTTGTCTTGACATAGACAACTTTGATGGTACCATTTTCAATTAGTTGTCTCACAAAATTGTGTCTAAAACCAACATGCCTTGACTTCCCATTATATACTCTAGAAAGTGTGGCCTTATTGTCACAGTACATAGGTATACAAGGCATTGGAATATCGTGCAGATGGATATCCATGAGTAGATCTCGAATCCACTCTGTCTCTTTGTACGTTGCTGCTAAGGAAATTAGCTCTGCTTACATCATTGAATGAGCTATGCATGTATGTTTCGTGCTCTCTCAAGAAATAACACCACCAACTAGAGTATAAATCCAACCACTTGTGGATTTTGAATCACTGGTGTGATCTATCCAGCTAGCATCAGAATAACTATAACATCCTCAAAAATCAAGGAAAAATTTACATTTTAAATCCATTCCAAAAATCCATACGTTTTACAAAACAAGTTTTCAAACGTCACTATCATGAATCATACTATCCCAAAATCCCCCAAAGTACCACACACAACCAAACAGATAACAGCATGCATATATGAGCCTTCAGCCTGACTGGACCACCTCGCAGGGCCTACAACCTATATGGATCGCTCATCGAGGCTTTGACCTGAATGGACCGCCTCGTAAGGCCTACAGCCTATCCAGACGGTTCTCCAGGTATCTTGGCCTTCAGCATAAAGCAGGACTGCCTCAACCCAACTAACCATAACATGTCCACATATACAATAACAATCAATAACCACCAAATACATGTAATCATATACATGTACTAGTTCAACACATATCCAGTGAACATAGGTACTCATACAGATCTACCAGTCTAACACATAACCATCATAACATCATCCAATATACCAGGATACATAATCCAATGGGCCGACATTGGTTCCTTCTGTAATGTCCCAAAATTTAGAACCAAAAATTTTGTTTTTTAATATTAAACAAACCATCAACCAAATATGTTTATCGAAACGATAAAGATATCAGAGTATATCAATAATTATCCACAATTCATCAGAGTCAGTAAAGCGGAAAATCATGTTTGTGCAATGCGATCATCCCAAGCCCTTCCCCTTCGAACCAGAAGTACCTGAAACATAAACTGAAAACCGTAAGCACAAAGCTTAGTGATTTCCCTAAAATACCCTACACCATACATACAATGGTCCATGGCCGCCATCCATCAGGCCCCGTTCGACATCGAGCCCCACCCGATACAGATCTGTCAGTAACATGTAATGGGCCCCACCCAATACACTCATCAGGCCCCGCCTGGCATCGAGCCCCGCCCGACATACATACAATACATACAACACATGCAAGGGTCAAACAGATAGCTAGCATAAAAATAACAATAATCCATGGGTCGACATTGGTGCCTTCGACCCGCCAAACACTACGAGGAGACTTACCTCAATCTGTTGATAATCAAATAGATGCTCGGACTGCTGATTCGGAAAATTCTCGCACTAAATATGATAAAATAACACCCTAATTAATAATTGGGTCATAAACCATAATCGAGACTTTAATTCACTGCCATCGACTTCTAGGGTAAAACACCATTTTACCCTTCTCTTAAGTGGCCCAATAATGGCCCAAATCCAAAGACACTCAAGGCCCAATATGGGCCCAAATCTATGAAGGCCCAAGGCCTAAAAATGGCCCAACTAAAAAAGACTTGTGGTCCAAAAAGAGCCTAAAACCCTAGAGTCCAAAAGTGGCCCAAAATCAAAAAGCCCAAATAGCC